GAACATAGCACAAACATAGAAAACCAACCTTCCCCAGACACCAAATCTGCCAGAGCCTTAATCCTGGACTTGCCAGGCTCCAAAACTATGAGAAATAAATTCCTGTTGTTGATTAGCCACCCAGTCGATGGTATTCTGTTACAGCAGCCCAAACAGGGCAACCATGGTATTAATATTGCAAAATCTGTCTTGCTGACCACTGATCATCTGGCAGGCCTGGATGCCTTCAGTACCAAAGGAGCCATGTATGCTCCCCAGCAGCAAAGGGAGATTTGGTCCATAAAATGGCTCCAATCAGGAAGATCTAAAAAAGATAGTTTCCTGATATATTCTCTGGTAACCTAAGCTTTATAGATATTACCACTGCATGGGAAGGGTTTAGATGTTTCCTGTCTTCCTTTAGGTGAATACGGCTCATGTACATCCTAGAGTGAGGCATGAGGTCTACCTTCATTTGCTGTTATTTATCATTTCTGCCAAAAGTGAGCTATGCATTTCCCTTCGTTTTTACACAGAATTTACTGGCTATCATTTCATCTTTTTTAATACATCACAGTCATCCTTGTGATGTACAAGCTGTACAGTCGTGGAGAAATGTCTGCAAGGTTTCTTCAATGTGCCCAGTTGCCTGCCCTGCCATATAATGGCTCCAGGCTGCTATGCTTTTTCACTTCTCATATATTTTTTTTAATAGTTTCTCTCTCTCCTCCCTTGTTGTCGAGCTGTCAGTCAGCTGTCACTTTTTACTGCTGTCAGTGAGCCTGCCTTTATCACACCCCCAATGTGATGCTGCTAATCTGCTGTCAGCTGAGAAATCAGATAATCAAGACCTCTGAAATTGCATTCACAGTAAGTGGTGGGCTGAGCACGGGATGGAGATTTTGAGATATGAGTTCCAGTTCTTGCTCTGTCTATATCTAGCTGTGTGGTTACCAGGAGGCAGTTAACTTCTCTGAACCTTGGTGCTTTCATCCACAAAATGAGCAGAATCTGTGTGTGTGTGCTGTCTGTGTGTGAGAGAGAGACAAAGAGACAGGAAAGGAAAGAGATCTCACCCAGACTTGGATCCTAACTTTCTCTGGCTACCAGAAAGAACACATGAAACTTTTCTGTGAGTTAACAGAATGCAGAATGGGGTACCATTGACCCTTTAATTGTCAAATTCAATGATATTATTATTTAACCTTACTTTTCTGTGAATTCACTACTGACCATCTTCTTAAAACCCCCTTCCCTTTGCTCCAGAGGATAATTCTCTCAATGTTGACCTCCTGACTCTTTTTTCTTCTCCTTTCAATCCTGGACTCTTCCTCCATCAACCCCTTAAGTGTTAAGAGTGCTAAAGGCCAGTCTGAAGTTCAAAGCCAGGCCAATGATGAGAAACCAGCAACAAGCCTGAGAAGTAGCAACCTGTGTGTTGCTAGAAACCAACTGAAGACTGTGTCATAGTGTGTCAAATGCTGCTGATACGTTAAGTAAGATGAGCACTGAGAATTGACCACAGGATTTAGGGAGGCATGGAAGTCATCAGTAACCTTGACAGAAACAGTTTCAGTGGAGTAGCTATAAGAGAGAACAGTAGGAATAAAAGTGGAAGCAAGTATAAACAACTCTTTCAGGAGGTTTTGCTACTAACAGAGAGAAAGAAAACAGGCAGTAGCAGAAGGGAGAAGTGGAATCAAGAAATAACTATTTTAAAGATGTCAAACAAATGGCATTTTTCTTATGCTAATAGTAATGACCCAGAAGACAGGAAAACTGATGATGCAGAACAGAGAAGGACAAATTGCTAGGACAGTAGTCCTTAGGTATGCAAGAAGGATGGACTCTTGTGGAGGCAAAGACCTCACACAGAAGCAAAGTCAGTTCATCCATATTAATAGGTATGAAGAAAAAGAATATGCACCCAGAAGCACATGGATGGGTTATATAACAATGGGAGTGGGGAAATTAATAAGATGAAGTAGTCTTTATTGGGGAGGCTATTACATACCAGGCACTATGCTAGGCATTTCGCATGTGCATTATTTCCTTTAGTCACTACACAATGCCTATGAGATGATAAAGTATATATAATCATAATATTAAAGAACCTAAGTTCAGGGTCATTACACTTACATAGGTCACAGAGCTAGTAAGTGGTAGTCAAGACTCAAATACATGTATGTATGTTTCCAGTGTTTAAGAGCTTCCCATCCCCAAATGTTTAATACATATAATGATAGTTTCTTTTTTCAAAAGATATTTATTTATTTATTTATTTATTTATTTATTTATTTATTTATTTAGAGCATGAGCAGGAGGAAGGGCAGCGGGGGGGAGACTCTCAAGCAGACTCCCTGCTGAGCGTGGAGCCCAACACAGGGCTTCATCTCACGACCCTGAAATCATGACCTGAGCTGAAACCAAGAGCTGGACCCTTATTTGACTGAGCCACCCTGGTGCCCCAAATACATATAATGATAGTTTCAAGTGATATTCTTTCTTGCAACTATTTTTCTGGTCTTTGAGAAAGGCAAGGCAGTAAGGAGTGAGGAGGGCAAGAGGTAACAGCAGTTGCCACAAAGCCCAATATTACTGAAGGCCTATGTAGACCGACATGCTCTGTATTTTAACTGTTAACAACTTTAGAAATTCTCATATTTTTTGCTGAAATACAGCTTTTCCCCTTCTCTGACTAATATCCATTATAGTATACACTATTATAGCACATTGTATTAATAATTTAATTATATCTTCTAGTTTGTTTTTACTTAAATTTATTTTTGCCATGACCAAACAATATTTATATAGGGAGAAAGGCAGAAGCATGCAAAAGTTGTTGTTTTTTTTTTTAAATCATCTTGGTTATGTTGCCTTTGGAATTACTAAGTATTTTTCAACATCTCAACAAAATAATACTCTTTTAAGACTGCAGGCATTAGAATGATTGTCATTCATGCAAATAATCACTTACTACACTATATGAGTTTGGGTTGGATAAAGCAAATTACCATTTGAAAATAATTCAAATAACACTCTGGGCTAAGACCTTGCTTATGAATGTTATCTTGGCCACAATATTTCTTAACCTTTTTCCATTTAGCTAGATTTATTTATGGTAATATAGTTCAAATTAATAAACTATTCAATTGCCACAGGTGTATTAAACATATGATGTTGTAGGAATATATCAGATGCAAATGAATTTTAAAATGTATTATTTATTTGGAATTCTATAATGGTAATAATTAAGATGTAGTATAATCACCTACTAAATTAAAGATGTACATTTTGAGTATATATTATATGAAAACCTTAAAAACATGTCAAAAAATAAAGTTCATATTTTAAAAATATGGCCTAAAATATAAACTGTGTTTTAACTAATCACAGATCTAAAGTGTAACAATTATATTTTCCAGAAGTTGAAATTCTCTCATCCCACATATTTTATATATACACACACACACATATATATATAAATACACATTATATATGCATATATAACTGAAAATCAATTTTGATCTTAGTTTCACTTAGCCTGACAGTTGTCAAAACTGCAAATAAATGATTCAATGTTTTTCACAAATGACCTATAGTGATAGGAAGCTTGAACAGTAAACAGAAAATCGAATTAAAAAATCATAGGGTCTAGGGCGCCTGGGTGGCTCAGTTGGTTAAGCGACTGCCTTCGGCTCAGGTCATGATCCTGGAGTCCCTGGATCGAGTCCCGCATCGGGCTCCCTGCTCGGCAGGGAGTCTGCTTCTCCCTCTCCCACTCCCCGTTTGTGTTCCCTCTCTCGCTGTGTCTTTCTCTGTCAAATAAATAAATAAAATCTTTAAAAAAAAAAAAAAATCATAGGGTCTAAACTTTAATCCAGTCTGTGACAATAATCAGCAGTATGAGTACAAGCCAGTCTCTGCTTCTCTGGGCCTCTGCTTTCTGAACTCCATAAAGTAAGAATTGGGCAAGGTTGTCTAACTTAAATTTTATGACTCACTAACTTGATTTGGTATGAGGCAGATTTTTCTTCAATTGAAATATTAACTAGTAAAACACTCAAATATATCAGCATTAAGAGTGCTGATGAGCACTAGATCCCACAGCAAAATCTGGGTGCACTCAGGAAATCGAGAACACAGAGGGTAATGCTGACCTCCTGCATAACATGCATAGACATTAAATTGTTTCCTGCCTTCCTTTCAGGGACAGGGAAGAAACAGCTGTCCCTGAACTCTTTTTAAGGACATCGTCGGTTACAAACAGCAGCATCCCCAGCTAGTATGAGTCCCACTGAAGTAAACTTTCTGTTCACAAGGGAGAAATATTCCTACTGGTAAGAAAAACCGTTTTGCTAGGTTTAATCAGAAGTGAAAAGGAATTTGAGAATGTTCCCTTTGAGCCACATCATTCACTGCTAATTCAGGGTGGGCCCAGCAACAAGGGTAATAAAAAATGTCCTTAGTAACAGAGAAAGAGAAATGGCAATTAAGTGCATTTGTAACCTAATACAGAAGACCTCTTTATTAAGATAATATAAATAATAAAAAATGGAAGAAGGAAAAAAAATGGAAGAAAATAGCACGGGAAACGGAAGTAACCCAAGCGGTGAAATTTAACACTGACTTACTTAGAACAGTTGCTATATACATATAAACCCAAGGGCATAAGCTGAATGCAAAGGTTGAGAGATATGCTTGACAATGACTTCTGTAACAAAACAACAAATAAAGAAACAAAACAGTAAGTGTCAAAAAAGCCAAAGCAGCTTGCTTGAGGAAACCAATAAATAACACTAAAGAAAGGATGAACTCAGTATCAGAACTAACCATTCAGGGATCGGCTGGACACATGATTATTTAAAATGTTTGTAAATCACAGCATGGTGAAATAGAACTCGATTCTCTAATTACATGCTTACGCTGAAAAGTTAAAATTGGCAAGAACACCACCGATTTCTATACATTTGGGGAATAATTTATGACACAATATTAAAAATGGAGTCAAACATACTGACCTGCTCACATCAGGAAACCTGATGGGAAAGTAAATAACTTGGCACTTGGGTCTGATGATGCTTTCCAGATCCCTGGGTCTGTGATCAGGAATCAGCTTCATAAATTTTCCAATAGAGGTAAGAAATGACTCCATATTAAAAACCGAGTTGAACACCACCACATCAGCCACCAGGCTGGAAAGGGAAGGGATAAATACAAAAGATGAACCCACACTCATTCACAGTTAGTTTTTATAAGAACAAGACTTCTGTGTTAATCAGAGTTTATATTGTATTTGGGTTTGCAAAGAACTCTGCATTTCCCATCGGTATTTATTAAATTGCCTCTAACAGATAAGTTAGTTTCATTCCCATTGTATCATGGTAAATTAGATTGCTGGCATCAGGGAGGAAAGGCAAGGGAGGAATTAAATGATGTATTGGGATCTTATGAGGCTTCAAACAAAGTTTGTTTTTCTGCAGTGTCAGGACTTTCTGTATTATCAACAACACTAAGTACAGCAGGACCTTTTTCTTTGTGGCCCACATACCCATGCGTGATTCCTATGTCAGCGATATACACCGTTTTACACCATACTACTGAGAACAGAACATCTGCCATACTTTTCAGTACCTTCAAGGAGACTAGTTCAGATAAAGCTATATCACATGAAAGAATACCTTTAAACATGTGGTTAAAGTCTATTTCTTGTTTAATCCTTGCTTCAAGAAACCATTAGATTTTTTAAAGTTCTGGAACTCTACAGGAAGGATTATATGGGATCTCTACAAGTAACTTATTTTACTATTATATTATATTTGGGGTAGTCAAAGAAGAAGGACCAACCACAACACCACGCACCTTCAGAATTAAATGAAATAAATATAATACTATCTATTACTTTTGATGGAAAGATTGTGTTCCTCACTTTAATATTTTTTAAATACAAATAATCTAAAATACATTGTTATAAGGAAATGTGATAACAAATTTAGATTTCATAAATATGTCAACAGTGTTCAGAATTGCCTAAAACATTTTCTTGAAGACCAATGAACACAAATGATAACTAGGAGCAAGCCAGATAAAACCTGAATATGTAGTATGTCCCCTTTATGGGTCAAAAAACTGATTTAATAAATAATTGTTTGATTTTCTTAAACGGCCCTCTTTGCTTTAAGCAATGATTCAGTGTCTCAGTGTCCCTGGATCTCAGTAAAATGCACACAAATGTTTTAGTGAGGAGGTATATAAACTCAAATAGTTAGTTTTATGTCACCTTAAAAGTAATAAATCAAAAAATGGAAAAGACACATAAGTCCGTAAGACAGCAAAACACAAATGAAGAGGCAGAGCTTACAGAATAGGAATACCATAGCAAATCTCCTGTTTACTGAGGACAGCCAAAGTTTCTATTATTAACGCACAGCAGAAGGAAAAGCCTACAAAAGGAACTTTGAACTGCCACCTTTATGCTTCCCCTGCAAAACTGCTTTTCCCTACAAGTATTTTTTTTTTTTTTTTGGTTGCAACTTCGGGGAAATTTGGGGGTAGGGGTGGTAACAGCACGGATAATACAAAAGAATGTCACAGAAGTGCTGACACAACAGCGAGCAATAAAGAAGCCAATATAATAATAGACGAAAAGTTGAAGGATGTTTTACAGCTAGTCTGTTTTCACCATATGTCACATATTGTAATAGCGACCCACAGGTCATAATATACAGTTACGACATTTGTTCATAAGTCAGAGGGTTAGTGAAACCTCTATTTAAGGTGAGTGTTTATGTCAGTCACCTCTGAAGTCCTTAACTGCCACTCGGTCAAGAAAGAAATCCAACAATGCCCACAAAAGCAGAAGTCAGCAAGAAAACTAAAGAAACATTTGAGGAAGCAAGACTCATCCTTTTCAAAGAGAATCTGAAACAGGACTGCTTTCTGACACGCTTATTTTTCCTCTGGACAACTGCAAACCATTTTTTTCTCATTAAGAGTCCAACCAATGATTGAGTCTACTTCTTTCGCTCCGAGCTTGTCTATCAGTTTACCCTCCTGAGAAGAGCAACGCCGGAAAACCATGTACGGGCTTTTATAGTCTCATTCCTTTTGAGCAAAAAAAATCTTTTATAAAATAGAGAGATGAGGGGCAGTGAGCTAAAATTTTTTTATAGACATCTGCCCTCACAGGGCAGGCAACCCAACTACTTACGCTCTTAAAAACCCAGTCTATGCTAAATTAAAGATCCAAGACAGCCTACAGAAATATTCTTCTCATGCATTTCAGCTCCGATATGAGTGGGTGTAACTTCCATTAACTTTAAAGCCACCCATAAAGGGAAAAACAGACTTAATTTTTTTCCCCAGTTATTTCTCAGGGGTAATAAACACACACTATCAGGGGAAAAGAATGATGCTAATTCAAGAAATGAAAAGAATATTACAAATGTTTTCCATATTGATAAAGCACAAAATGATATTATTTTTGTTTTTAAAACATATTTCCCTTCTCTGTTTCAATATAAAATAAAGTATTTTAATTTTATTATGAAATTTTAAAACGGTTGCGTTTTTATGAGACATTTGACGTGAAGCAGTTCCACTCTATTTTGATAGTGCTGCTACTTCACAATTGAAGCAGCTTGTAAAAATGATTGCAGGAAAACATTTACGAAATGCTCAAAACACAGAAATATTACCATATAGCTATGGAATATGCTTGTAAGAGTTGGGAGTCTGTTTAAACACACCATCAATCCCAACTGCTAATAACTATTTTAAAAAGGTGAGTAAGATGAACCCAATCACAGCCAACCTGATTCTATTTGATTGCTACAGTTATGTGAGTAGGATCCAATCACAAAACCGTTTCAGAGTTGTTATTAACTTCTTTCATTAACTAAGCTTCAAGAGATACACTTTGTTGAAGTAACAACAGAGAAGGACCATCACCTTTGAAATGTCATGGTATTTTAAGGCTGTGCAATTTCAGAAGACTCAATGAGGGGAAAAGAAAAAAAAACCCAACCACCTAAAGATTCATTTTCCATAGTTTTCTCTTATAAACAAAAAGAAAAAAAGAGGACAAAACTCCCTTGCTCTATTATGCTCTAATTTCTATTTCTTCCTCTATAAATTTCTATATATATTGAAAGTGGTTGGTAAATGAGACTTGACTAACCGCTCTTTTCTAAAAGTACCCCTTAAACAATACATGATGGAATCAAGGGGGGAAGAAGGTCTTGTGTCAACACTGTGATTCTATTTTAAATGTTGTAGAAAATAGTCAGATAACTAGTTCAACATATAATTAGATTGTTACCTGTGAGTATTTTATAAAAGGATTGGCTGTTCTCCTCTATATACATATATTGCAAAGGCACAAGCAGTTACTACCGTGGAAGGTATGTTTACACATACGCCCCCACGTTAAGGTGTTTTTAAAATAAGTGTACAGTAGGTCTCCAGATTTAAAAGCTAACTATCTATAAAGAAAATGGTGGTAAAGGACTAAATATAATGATACATTCTATACCTACCATGAGAGAATTTGGTTGTATCCATATTGGAAATCCCTCTCCTGACATTTCTTGATAGGATATATCAATTGGTTCTCATGGAAGTACAGAATCTTTTTCAATTTCCCAAGGTCGGGCCGAAGGGCAGCCAGTTCGGTCAGGTTCAGCACTGAGCTTGCAAAGAGGATCCTAGGAAACAAGGAAATTAGTTTACTGTCCCAAGCATGCCTGAAGTGGTCATCCTTCCCCCTTCTCCCCTTTTCCCTCTTCCTACCCCAAGAAAAACATATCCCCTATAGGGACACATCAATAGTTAAGCCTTAATACCATGTAGCAGCATTCTAAGTTTTGATCTCTTAAAAAGCAGCTGCTAAGAACTATAAAAGCCCCGAATCTCATTGGTCTTCTCAGCTCAGTTACTGAGAGATGCAAAAAAAAAAAAAAAAAGAAAGAAAGAAAGAAAGAAAGAAAGAAAAGAAAAAAGAAAAAAAAAAAAGCCGGATGGATTTTATTGAAAAAGGCAAGAAAAGCGCTATCTGAAGGACAAATGGAACAAAGATAAGGCTGACTGGGGAATACTTTGCTTGCCAGTTTCATTACACTTCACTTCTTTATGCAACAAACTACTGAAATTCAATATATGAGCAGGAATGGCACATGTTCATGTTATGACATAAACCCTTTTGATTTATGCAATAGACTTATCGAGTGTGGTCTTTTTCTCTTGGCATGTTTTCTCACTGTCCCTCCTCCCTCCCTTTTTTTAAACTGCTCTGCAATATTTTGTGTTTTTCTTTTTTCAATATTTTATTCTCCATTACTGGACTGCTAATGGCACCGGATGTATAATCTATAAAACCCCTTATATAAAAACATAAATATAAAAAAGAAGAAGAAAGCTGATTCCTTATCTTTGTGGAAAAAAGGAAACTGAAAGCTTACCTACCATGTTTATAAATGAAAGTGTCTATTCACCCATTCACTCCACAAATATTTACTAAATGCCTACTGCGTGCCAGAGTCTAACCAAGAAGAACAAAAAAGATGAAACAAGAGAGCCCACCAGGATAAATGCTGCCTGCAACAGTGACAAAAACAATTAAGAGAGTAATAACTATCTAGGACAACCTGGAAATGTTTCACTAACAAGGTGTACCACATATGGATACAAAAGAGGGACAAATTACAGTTCCCTGAACGGCTGAGGACATTTAGATGGCACAATTTTGATGGAATGCCACCTTTATAACATAATGTAGCATCACTTGACCCTTACAGCTTTAATTCCCATTCTAAAAAATGAGGTTCAAGAAGGTTTTTTTTTTTTTCTTCTTTTTTTTTCTAGAATCACACTGGTATAAAGTGGCAAAGCAGACTCCTGGTCTTCCAAGCCTGAAGTACTTTTCATTACACCACAGATATGAATTGGCTGTGGACCACTTACATTACAAATGCTTTTTTCTGTACTTAATAAATACAAAATATCATACTTATTATTACCGTGATTACAACTACTATAAATTCTCCCTTGCTGACAAGCCAAATGGCTAACTTCAGGTGTTTATATGATCTGCAGCACTAGCCTTTCACATAAGAAGAATGATTACATAGTAAGTGCATATATCATAAATAGGAATTCAAGTGTCTTCTTCATGGACTAAAAAAGGCACATAAGACCAAAAGGCAGTGATCTCTCTTTAAACCCACACTGCTGTATTAATGCCATGGTTTAGTGCTTTGAAGTAAAAAATCTTACAAAGGAGATGTATTTATTTTTTTTTAATTGTCTGTACTCAACTAAAGCAAGGAGAAAAATTACGATAAAAAATACTATATTTTGTCCAAAAACATGCCCACCACCACCACCAAGTATAAGACTTTCTAAAGCTTGGATTGAAAATTCTGAAATATGAAGATATTTGCTTATCTACAAATCTGATCCTTAGTAAAGGGAACAATGAAATATTAATCTCAATCAATATTTTCCTTAAAAGAAAATGGATGATGACTTGTGAGTCTAATGATTGAGAAATATCCCCTCCTCTCCCTCCATACAACACTACTGCAAACAATTACTCATTCTTAATCATGAGACCCGAGCAAGCTCAATGTTTTTCACACACAAGGCTGAAAAATTCATTAAATGCAGCCCCCATATTACTTATTAACTACAAAGAAAAAATGGTACCTTAATGGACAAATTTGGTAGACATCAATTTACCCAAGTCATCAAACTTAATATGAACAATAATAGGACAAGTGATATGTATTTTCCAATGTGGTACACTGACAAAGATACAAATCACCAATGTAGTATTCCTGCCAAAAATGCCTGACCTGAATTTGGTCATGAGGAGACAATCAGATAAATATTCTGCAAAATAACAGGGCTTGATATCCAAAAATGTCAATGTCGTAAAGGGAAAAAAAATCTAGATTAAAGGAAAATAAAGAGATACCAAAACAAAATACAATGTGTGATTCTTGACTGGATACTAGATGGGGAAAAGACAGTTATAAATGACATTATAAGGACAAAAACTCTGAATATGGACTTAATATAAGACTGTACATTTTTATCAATCTTAAATTTCTCAAGTGTAATAATTTTATTATGGTCATGGACGAGAATATACTTATTCTTGGGAGACACAATGAATTATTTACATGTGAAGTGTCACCATGTCTACAACTAATTCTTACATGGTTCAGTTAAAAGGCTACTACTGATAATAAATATTCATATGTATATATTTGCATAGAGATAAAAATGGATAAAATGTTAACAATTGATTAATCTAAATTAATGGTATATTGTAATTCAGTGATCTAGTCTTCCAATTGTTGTTCAGTTATACATTTACAAAACCATAAATTTGAGGAAATATGCATTAAATGGCAGTGAGTAGAAGGGAAAAACACATTCCATAAACAATAAACCCATTATATATGTATTTCTAGTCATAATCCAATTGTTAATTTCCAACATGAGAATTATCCTCAAGATGGACCATCTATAGCAAATGTTTAGCCAAGGAGAGTCCTTCACTCTACTCCTACCATACACCTCCTCTCCTTACCCTACCTGCTAGCTGATCCATAATTAAGGAATCTAGATCTAAAGTTGAGCCTTCCAAATAAAACCTCCTAAATGAAAGAATGTAATACGTGAAACCGCAATGACTTTCATAATATTAACCATTTGGGATGGCCCACACCAACACTTCCTTCAGTTTGTTCAATCATTAACAGGAAAATCATTTTATTTTTATAACTGATCTTGAAATAGCCCTCACTACTTCTAAATTGTGGAAATTATCTCCAGCATCAGGAAAACATTTCTTCTTTATTTTTTCACTTGTAAAACAGTAAATTGGACAACAAGCAGTTCCATAAATACTCAAGTCAAGGGCACCCCCCCCCAAAAAAGCAATGAATATGCCCACGAAAGGAACACAGGTAAGATTCATAGGCAATTTTTACTTTACCCCCTTCCAACAATTAAAAAAACAGTTAATACAATGAATGGCTTCATTCGATCAGCAGCTAACCCCTCGGCTTCCAATGTTCTTCTTGCGTCAGGTATTATTTAAGCAATAAATCCTAACAAGGTGAGCTTTATCATCCCACACTGTGTCTCTGACAGAAAAGGGCACAAGGTGATAGCAAAAACCACTAGGAACAAGATAATTCCTGACAGCTGCTGCCCGAGCACAAGTTAAATTGAACGGTTTATCTCAGCATGAAGATGTTATAAGGTTTTATGTTTAATATTTTTAAATTAACATAAAAACCAGAGAAAGCGGTTGTGCAATCTTTCACAAACATGACATGGTACAATCACTGTGTAAGCTGTATTAATACTTATTCCCATGCTACTACAGAATTAAGCTGTTTTTAGACCACCAAAGAGCTTTAAATTGCAACTTTTGTCTCTGTAAGAGAAACCTATATTTAAAATGTCTGCTAAATTCAAATTAACAGCTACATCATTAGCTTATACCATCTCACCAAAAGTATTAAGTAAGCTGCTATTATAATCGTCTAACCAAAATGCTCTGTGCTCCAACCACATTAACACCGTTCTATAGTGGGGTTGTATCCATACACATGTTTCAATTGTTTCCAATACACACTATATCTACAATCTGAGTCATATTTGCTTAAGGAATCCAAAATCATTCAACATAATGAAATTCAAAATTAGAGATTTTATACTTGCTGGCTCAGTTTGAATAAACTAGTTATTTGGCTTTTACTCTATTCTCTCAATACATAAAAAGAGATGCTGACATATACCTAAGCACTGTAGGAATGGGACCACTATTATCACAGTGCATACTTTTATTATCTTAAAGGGTATGGAAGGGCAGTGAAATGAGAAACAGTAAACAGACATTCAATATTCCAACCACCACCATGCAATCTAGTAATAATACTTCATGAACTAAGTTATCTCAATCTCGCTCCATGAAATCTTTTCAAGGGCCCCTTCTGCCCCACAAAATCATTTAGCAATTTTATCACATAAAAAGATATAGTACACAATTTAACATGGATCCTAGTTTGGGTTGAATTCTTAAATAATTCTTTGCAGGGCTTCAGTAGGCCTTTGACAAAAGAGTAAATTCCATTCTTCCAGTTGTGTCTCCTTGCTCAATACCTAAACTCCTTGTCTAGATTCATGTTGCTCAGCCTCATTACCAAAGTCTTTGTTGTTCCATTGCTACTTATCTTGGTTCTTGTTCCTTGATATAGACTCTCTAGGATTCTAGATCCTATACTTTGTGATATGGTGTTTTCTGTGATGATGGAAATGTTTTATACCTGTATGTAGTATCCAATATAGCAGCAACTAGCTACGTATGGTTATGGAGCACTTGAAATGTAGCTAGTGCAATGGAGGAACTAAATTTTAAACTCACTTGAACTTGATTCATTTAAGCTTAAATGAAATAGCTATAAAGTAATGGGTACTGTGTGGGAAAGCACAGCTGCGAATGGACCAGATTTCCTCAATCCAACACTTCACCCATGATACCTGAATGCAATTCCTCACTGAACTGATTTTCTTAGACCCCTGACCTGCTTGTGATAACCTAATTTCTAAGTTCCTCCTGACTTGCTGAATTTCACCTACCTAATTTTGGAATGGCATTATTTCTTTTTCCTCCTGATAATTAGAAAGC